ACACCCCTAAGAAAAAGCCAGCTCTTAATTTTCACTCATTTTTTGACTACACAAATGTAACAGAGCAAATTCTTCTGTTGCAGACCCCCAGAAAGCCTCCAGCAAATCAGAATGTTTTTAACACTGTAAATTCCTGTTTGAAATCTCTGGATTTATCTTGTGAATCGTGTTTACATACTTAGCAGTGCTACCACTGCATGGCACCCCCTTGAATGGATCTCAAAGCACCCCAGGGTGTTCTGACACCTTGGGTGAGAATCACTGATCTAGATGTACAGAGGATCTTTAAGCTTAAAGAGGTAAAGGGCAGGGATGACCCCAAATTACTTTATTACTGCAGAACAGCACAATAGACTAATGGGGTGTGGGGGGCAGTGGGCTGTAGCAGCCAGCACCAAACAGGAAAATACTTCATATGTCTTGATACCAATGCTTGCTGTTGTTTTATATTACTTAAAATGTTCCCCAGCCTCTCCCTGGAAAGACCAGGGTGTCAGTGATGACTTCAGGCACTGTTCTGGTTGGGATGTCCTCCCAGAACAAGAAGAAATGCCATATGACCCAAGTGCCCACTCATTGAGTGACTACTGGATTTTCAGAGGCTCGTGGTTATGAATATTTTTTCAGACAACTTACAAACACCAGACAATGCTGTAAAACATCATGATTAGTTCAGACAACTTGTGAAAAGAAGGGGGCTCCTTCTAGGGGCTACATTATTATCATGATCAGAGGGCTTATAAATACCGTGGGCTTATCCTTAACTCCTGAAAACAAGTTTGAAAAAACCTCAGCTTCTATTAAAAATAATTTTCACAGCCCCTTCCTTGTTGCAGAGAAAAGCCTGAAAACACAAGCACACCAAACCCAAAACATTCAAGAAGGAAGAGCCTGAATGTATATTTAAGAATTTTTTTTTTCATTGAGTGCTATGATTTTTGAGGCCGGCTTTTAAACATCTGCGGTGGCAATGCCATGCGCACTTGTTATAACGTCTCTTCAGTATTGAGAGGAGGAAGGGAGTGGTGTTGAATGTCATTCCTTGGGCTAACTGTTTGGCTTTTCCATCTCTTCCAGAAATGCCTGCACTTATGGCTTTGCGGAAGCGAGCTCAGGGAGAGAAGCCATTGGCTGGGGCCAAGATCGTGGGCTGCACGCACATTACAGCCCAGACTGCTGTAAGGCTTTATGAACTTCTCTCTTTCCTCTCTTTCAGCTGACATTTCAGCATGTCATTGGGACTGACTCAGTGGCCTGAGGGGCTCCTTCCAGTCTTCTGTTCCTGAATTGTAGACTGACTCCGTTGGTGTACAAAGCATGTGCTCTGGGGATGACAGTGCCTCACTGTGAGGCTCATTCTACCCATTGCCATGCTTCAAGGAAAGGAAACTCTTTATGATCTTCATGCTTGGCTCTCATTTTGCAAGCAAGGCTAAGTCGGGATTTTTTTTTCAGGGAGTTTTTGTTTTGCATTTAATTTGAATACTCTGCTTGCTTTTGTAAGTTATTTTTCCTCCTTGTAAGCTGCTGCCTTGAGTCTTGTTTAAGAAGGGCACCCTAGAAATCTAATCGATAGATGGATCAAGATTAGGTGAGTTGGAGGACTGTGAAAGAATTAGCTGCCTGTCACCCGTGGTCACCTGTTCTAGCCTGCAAAATTACTTACTACTGACTGCTCAGTTACTAGTATGAGATGTGTAGGTGGGGGTCACTACTGGAACCAAGGCAGTGGTTTTCCACAGCAGGATAAACTCCAGCCTAAAGCACAGAAATGGCAGAGAAGTGGGGCTGGAAGGGATCTCCAGAACTCATCTAGTCCCACCCCCTGCCTGAGGCAGGACCCCCTAGCTGCAGTCCTTGTTAACCGTCTCAGAAGGGAGGTAAAAGAATAGATAGGCCATGAAGAGTGAACCTCATTCTCTACCCAGACAGGGCAAGGCTGGGTCCTGCTGGTAAAATGCTGAAGAGGGATTTTGCCCTTTGGTCATCTGTTCTCAGAAGCAGATAGGATTTGTCTCCAGAGATGTGGATCCAGCCTTTCTCACCAAAACCCCATTTTTAAAACAAAAATAGAATTCCCCCCTTATATAATGGTCTATTCATAACTCTTCATCTCTATATCTGTCTTTCTAACCACCTGAAGACATGAGCAATGCATGTCTGTCCCTGAGCAACAGCTGTGAGTAATGATGACTTGAAAAAGCCAACTTCAAAGGCACAGTGAGAGGGCCTTATTTTAATGCATAGAGCAGAGGACTGGGATTCAGGACTCCTGGGTTCTGTTCCAGATTGGGAAGAATGCCGTCTAGTGACTAGAACCAGGGGGTTGGGATTTATCCAGTGAAATCATTATGAAATTCATTCATAATCTTACTGAAATGGAGGTCTGTTTGTGTTTCATGTAGCACTGACAACACTACTGGTGCTTAAAGAAATGGCATTGATGCCATTGAAATGCTCATAATAGCTTCATAGTAGTTAGGGGTCAGAAGGGACCTAAATAGATCATCTAGTCTGACCCCCCGCCACTGGCCGGAGCACACGCTGGGATCACACGACCCCAGACAGGTGTTTATCCAACCTCTTTAAATAATAAACAGAAAAGCAGTATGCTCTGTTAAAACTGCAGAGGTTGGTACTTTGCTTCCTGTAGAAGTCAATTTGCAGACACCCCCTCTAAGTTCAGTGAAGTTCATATGACAGGAATATATCACAGCCTTCTTCTGTTCTCTTTGCAGGTACTGATGGAGACTCTTGGTGCCTTGGGTGCTCAGTGCCGGTGGGCTGCTTGCAACATCTATTCAACTCTCAACGAAGTGGCTGCTGCCCTGGCTGAGAGTGGTAAGAGGCTGCCCCTTTTTCTTATGGTGCTTTTAGAGAGATTCCCTTTTTCCCTTTACAAGTTGCTGTAAGAGAAGATGGCCAGGCTATCTTTCCCTGTTTTAAAATAGTTGTGCCCTCAGTTTAAAATAAACATGTGAGAGCTTGAAATATCTATGGTGCTTTTCTTTCATCTTGGGTATTCACATGCACATGCCTTTACTGGTAAGTTGTGTGGCTGAAGTGTGCGTATTGATTGTTCGGTGGCTCAGAAATCTGGGTTGTACCCTGTTGCTATTGCACTGTGGGCAGGTGTTGGCCATCTGGATTATTTTAAGAAATTACATGATGTTGGGGAGGGGGGTCACAATTTTGTGGAGTTGAGGATGAGAGTAAATCACAGGAATGCTAGATGTTAAAAGGGTATTGGCCTACAACTTTTGCCAAACATTTGTTCAGAAAGGATCCCTGGCTTTTTGTACCTGTGGCTGAGATGTCTAAAGGCATAGTGATGTCAGCCCTGAGGTTGTCAAACTGGATCATGGGTTGCATAAAATAGCCATGTGACTGCTAGGTTGGACTTGCCATCAGTGATAAGGGACACACTCTACCAGTGTCCGAGCAGTGTCTACAGCATCTCTGTACCACGTCGCCATAAATGAAACCTTCAGGACAGCTGCTTAGAGCTCCATTCACACAGAATACGCTAGAGCAGATTGTGTGCTTGGACAGAGCAGTCTTACAGTCACCATTTACCTGGAGGGACTCTGAGGCCTGCTCCCAAGTATGTGAGCCCTGCTTTAAAATCAGCCATGAATGAGGATTGGAATGTACTGACTTATTCAAAAGGGAGAATTAAGTTCCTGACCAGTGACTGGAGATCTTTGAAGTACATTATCCACAAACATATTCCTATTCTGCCCCTTTTCACTTCTGTCTCAGATCCAACACAAAATAGGAAACTTGGGAGCAATTAGTGGGCACTGCCCTTTATTTCCTCCATGCAGGATCACAAGGATGGGCAGGGCAGAATGCACTCTGGATACTGCTTAGACAAATAAAAGTACGGTCAGAGCTCAAGGCATTAGACACCTACAAATAAGAGAGAAAGACTGTATGTGGACAATACACCATGAACTTCAGTCACTGGAATATGTAACTCCAGTTTACTCTAAAGCAGTGGTTTGCAACCTGTGGTCCGTGGACCCCCGGGAGTCCACAGACTGTCTAAGGGGTCCATGAAAGATGAATATGATCAATCAAAAGTATGTGAACACCCACACTTACCATTCAGAGGTATTGGCACCTCCATTTGAAATTTCCAAAGGGGTCCGCAAATGAAAACAAGTTGAAAACCACTGCTCTAAAGTGTAAATGTGCCCAACACAGATGGTATCAACCCCCATAGAGCTAGGTGAATTTTTTCAGCAAAATCTTACGTCCACCAAAGTGTCGTGTCTTTTCTCTTTTTTTGGTGCTCCCAAACGTGTGAATGTGTATTATACTCTCCAACTAGCTCTTGTTGGAGAGAAATTTTTAAGACTTGATTCACAAACCTGGAAAAGATGATGGCAGTCATCCCTATCTGGAAGTTGCTTGTCATTGGCATTCACCAGGGATATGGGAAAGCTTAGCTCAAATGCCTGCCCTACATCAGGCAGAGGGTTGATTCAGAGTTGTGCAGTGGGAGTTTTGAGGGAATGTACGAACTGCCACACTGTGGGGTACCCTGCGATGAGTATGTCTTATTCCCATCTGTTGGAGCTATTCCCCTCTATGTCCTGTACTTAATTATTCATTCCAAACAAGTGCAAATGGTGCTGTAACCCAATGATTAGGCTACTCCCCTGCAAGGTGGGAGGTCCCCATCCTTCTTCCAGTGAAACTGTGATTTATTTTTATGAAGTAAAACAGTGCCAGTCGGCAAAATTGATAGACCCTACCCCAAAACGCCTGCAGCCGGGTGGATGCAGCACTTTCCAGGCATCTAGCAGAGAAGGTTTCTTCCACATCTTGAACGAGCATTCCAGTTACCGAGGGAGTGACTTGAGCCTTTTGTTTCCTTCGAATATTTGACAAACACTGAAAAAAATTAGTTTTGGGCCAGGTGTCACATTCAGTGTTGAACAAAACTATATTTTTTAAGCTTTCATTTTTTAGGAGGAAAACAGCAGCACGTTTCTTTCTCTGCTCTATCTGCACTGAATTTTTCCCCCCACCCCCCAAATTTCTGGTTTGGTAGCCAGCCTGAAAAATCAATTTGCACTGTTCTTCTCCCCAGTTCTGCATTTCGTATAAGAATGATATGTGGGATAATTTTGAAGTACAGATACATTTTGCATATGCTGTAAAGATTACTGTCCTTAGAAATGGATCAGAGGCCTTTTTGGGGTGATGGGTAGTAATTCTCTACAACCTTGCATATCTGCTCTGGGGCTGACTCAAGATGGAGTATTTGAAGATTTGCCAGAACAGCAATAAAGAGGTCTCCTGGGAGGGTTTGAAATCACAGCTTCACAGCTTTCTGAAAGGCCACATATTTGCTCTTTTGAACTAGGTTCTACTGAGACTAATTCCTGCATTGCCTGTGTTGAGTCTGTCATACACACACCTCCGTAATTCGAAAAGGGCCTCTCCTAGAGCAGTGCGTATGGTCTGGCTCTCAATACAGGTGCTCTGATGGTGATAGGAAGCACCTCATAAACCTTGGCCATTCCCACCCTTTGCAGTCTAGGGAGCACTTGTCCTCAGCTGACATCTGCATCACTGAACTTTCTCCCTCTCGTTATCAGGATTCCCTGTCTTTGCCTGGAAGGGAGAATCTGAAGATGACTTCTGGTGGTGTATCGATCGCTGTGTCAACGTGGAGGGATGGCAGCCTAATATGGTGGGTTGTTTGGCTGCATCTGAACATTTGGCCCATGTAGCAGTCAGAAAGGCTGGTGATATCTTGACTATAGTCGAGAGAGAGAGACGGTGAGCCAGGGATCCACAGAAGGCTTTGGAGTTATTGCTAGTTCACCCTTGAATTTGCAAGTCTGTTTCTTCAGCAGCAGTTAATGCTCAGCCCTTGCTTAGCACATATTTTCAAAGAGCTTTGCAATTAACTGACCCTCCTGCCATCGGAAATTAGCTCCCCTCTATCTTACACTTGGTCAGTTCTCTGCACAAGAAACTGGACTGTCAAAGCAATATAGTTAGGTTGGTACCAAGCCCCTGTGTACATATTCTTATGTAATTTTAAGGCTGACTTGCTTCCATTCAAATTAAACCTGGTAAGATGCCTTAAAAGCAAACAGCAGCTCAAAGCAAAAATGGAAGGGTGTGCAAAGCAGAGAAGGAAGGGGGTTGTAGCAGTTTAACTGTGTGAGTTCATGTTCACACTGGCTGCTGTTCCCAGTACAACTTTTCCATTTAGAGCATTTTAGCTTTTGAGGCCAAAGCTGTAAACCAGACAATCTTGATACTAAATCCTGCACCCACTGTGTTACTCCTGAAGTACTGGAGCTCCTTGCATTGGTGGTTTGTGAGGTCCCAGCTGAAAGAGAAAATGCAATATTCTGATCCTGGTATTTGGCAAGTATTTCAGCTCTCAAGTATCTTGGTGTTTCAGCTCTCAAATGTTTTACTTCCATAACACTTTAAACAGGTCCTGTTTTCTGCGATTCAGAATCTAAATTTAGGCAAAGAAGAAGAGAAGCCAGGGGATATTGCCATGCATTTACATCATTTAAGTTTCCTCATATTAAATCATTTGGGATGTTAATTTTTTGTTTTTTCAAATAGCATGTTTGACTTTTGTTTTCTCTGTCACCTTTAAAAGGATTTGTGAATGATCAAAAAATCTGGCCCCAAGCCGTATTTCTGTATCTAGGAAACTCAGTCAGAGAAATAAGCGGTGCTTGCTGTGGAAATGCTGTCCCATTAGGAGCAGCAGCGGTCATCGTTGATGCTATTGGCAAAATGAAAATTCCTCATGAGTCCATCTAGCTTACTTTCCTGTGATTGTTCGATGAGGCTTCCTGGGTTTCTACATCTGTAATGGCCAATGTCTCTTCAGATGGGGCTTTGTGAAGAGGTATAGACGTTCAGAAAGCCAGCCAAGCCAACTGTACTTGATCTAGCACTTCTTAAGTTGTGATCCTCTGGGCTCCTGTTCCAGGTGATGAACAGAACAGAGCGTTTTAGTATCAAGCAACGGGAAAACGGGCGTTGTGAGTGGCAGGTGTGTTTTGGGATATTACAGTTACCTGCAGAGCAGAGAAGTTGCAGGATCGCTGCAGGCCTTACCAGACTTGCTCTCTCTCCTGGTCTGCCAGACTTGACTGAAGTCTAGCTTTCCTGCTGTCAGTGAAATCCTGACACTGCTGGAACCAGTGAGAGCTCATGTCGTTGATGCTGGTAGGACCGAGGATTTTGCTTGATGCATTGATGAAGATTTGGTCTGCATGCAGTTGGCTCCTAATACCGATCCCAGTCTTGCCAGTGATACCCTGTATAACCTTTGAAATCAGTAACGTGGAGAATAGCACCTTGTGGAGGTGCTTTTTAAGTTAAGCGTGTTATCCAAAGTAGTATATATACCCAGTACAGTATTAGCACAACATTTTGCTAGCATGGCATAGCATTTTATTGCCATAAGATGGGCAGTGGTCTCCTTGTAACTGATCTGGCAGTGGGTTGATCTTGCCTCAATAAAGCACACTTCATTTGTACTACTATAAATGCAGAGAAGGTGTATGAGCTTGAGTATCCCACCAAATGGTCCGTGGGTGGAAGTTGCTGATAGGAGGGAAAAGCTCTGAATGGAATTAAGGGGCTGGACCTGATGATCTTGCGAGGTCCCTTCCAGCCCTAATGTCTGTGACGTCTAAGATTCATAATCTTCCTGTGGGGCGAGGAGTGTTTTACCTCCATGTTGCAGAGGAGAAAACAGTGGCACATTAAGAGATGCCTTTCCTGAATCAACAGAGCAGAACCCAGGAGTCCTGGCTACCGGTTCTGGGCTCGGCCTCCTGGGGAACGTTTCCTGTAAGCCAGGATCCCCGTCGTCAACTGTGTTACAAGTTATTATAAAACTGGTTTCATACTTCGCGTGCAGATGGCTAGAGTGCCACCTGTGCTGCTGATTTCATTGTTTCCCTGGAAACAGGCAAATATGAAAGCGAGCACAGTGGAGAGAGGCTAAAAATAGCCAAAATTAGATACGAGTCAGAACGAAGAAGATGAAGTTCACAAAAAGCAGGATGGTCTGGGACCCAGAGCCCCCTAAGAGACCTTCCTGCAGTTGGCTGCCCCTCCTGTTCACATAGCAGATTGCCCAGCTGTGCCCTGAGTAACCATCCTATCTGCGCCACACCTGAGCTTGAAAGGGCAAACTGCTTTCTTCCCTTTAGGCCTCGCATGGAAATAAGGCTGCTCCTACGCCTGCTGCAGCCCCGGGTTTGCAGGGTGGCAGCAATGTGAAGGGTGCTGCCAGTCTGAAATATATATGCCAGGTTTGTGATGGAAAGTGGTCCCAGAGGCTGCAAAGATGCTCACCGGGCAGGGGTTGTGGAGAGGAGCGTTTCCTCTGGAAGGTACCAATGACGTTTCTCATTCCCTGTGAATTTGGCTACCGCTCTGTACGGATCAACTCAGGCTGCCCCCAGAGAGAAGCTGCTGTGTTGTTCTGATTATAAATCTACCTTTTTCCCCCTCCAGAAGAACCATATAAATTACACTTGATGTATAAGCAGGGTTGGCTTGCATTTGGGCCCCCGAAGTCTTGACTTTGCACCTGCAGGATTTTTCTGCCTGCAATAAAAATTCAAAGGCAGAATTCTTTTTTTCCAGTAGTTCGTATTTTAGTATTTTTAGTGCATATAACCCTTTGGGACCTGCCTTCAGTTATGTGATTCTCTAAGGGGAAGAGCAGTTCAAGATCTGCACCTGTAGTTATCAACGTATATGGAAGAGAAGAGAAAAAACCATGTTTTGTCTTTAAAATTTGAACTTGGAATATGTGGGTTCAACTTATAATCAGCACAAAATGTACTGGAAATCTCAATACCTGTGCGTGGGCTCCTCCAATCTAGCAAGTAGCTCCTGCGTTACTGGAAGCCTTTTTTTGAGACAAGGAGTTTGGAGTTTTCATATCATGAGGATAGCAGGCTTGGAGCAGTTGCATGCGACACTCTGGATGGGCAGTCCCCCTGAAACATGGCTGGGTGTGAGCTGTGTGAAAACCCAAATGTCTCTATGGTTGGTCCATCCAAGCCATACAGCCCAGTTTCTTATTGAGGCACCGGGCTGTTTCAGAGTAAGAAATGATGCACCCAGAGGCAGGCAAGTGGGAATGACAGCTCTGGGTTAACGAATGGCACTTGACTTTGTGCACGGGAAGCAAAGTGAGGTCAGTCCCTGGGATTAGACTCATAGAGAAGTTGGGCTGGAAGGGACCTCCAGAGATCATCTAGACCACTGGTCCTCAACCTTTTTTGTACCAGAACTCCTTTATAAACATCAACGGCCAGTCTCAACCCTGCAAATAGTTTAAGTAGAAAAAAGCCCCCTTGGCTCTGCCGGTGCCCTTCGCTCCCACTCCACAGCCTCCCATCCCCCAGCCCTGCTGGTGCCCCTCACTCCTGACCCCCTGCCTCCCAAAGTTTGGGGCAGGGGGTCAGTGTCCGGAGGGAGCAGGGGGAGGCATGAACCCCCCAGATGTGTGTGCCCACAGCAGGCACTCCCCATGGGTTGAGACAGGGTCATCCCTATCCAAACCGTCCTATACAAATCCATAATTTTACCTCTACATAAGAGTACCAGCAACCCTGACACAACACAGACATCATGCCCAAACCTGCCACAGGTAAAGCAGGGGAACCACAGCAGCCAACAACCTGCTTCTATGAAATGTTTTCAATATATGTTCTGCTGCCATGCCCTCTGCTACAGAGGATGGAAAAACCCCACAGTCCATACCAGTCTGACTGTGGGGTAAAATTCCTTCCTGACCCCAAATATGGTGATTCATAGATCCAGTGATGGAGAGTCCCCAACTTCCCTGGGCTTCTCTATTCTAACAGTGAGGACATTTTTCCGGATATCCAATCTAAACTTTGCTGTAACTTCAAGCCATTAGTCCATGTCCTCCTCTCTGCAGCAAGAAAAGGTGCTTTCCGTCTTCTTTATGGCAGCCCTCCAGATATTTGAGGACCGCTGTCATGTCCCCTCTTAAGTGCCTTTTCGACAAGCTGAACGTGCCCAGCTCCTTCAGCCTCTCCTCATATGATTCATTTTCCAAGCCCGTTACCATCTTTGTTGCCCGCCTCTGGGTCCTCTCTAGCTTCTTCACATCCTTTTTAAAATGTGGAGCCCAGAATTGCAGACACTGCTCCAGATGAGGCTTAACCAGTGCCGAGTAGAGAGGTGCTATCACCTCCCATGTCTTGCACCTAATGCTTCTGTTGATGCAACCCCAAATCGTATTCGCCTTTTGTGCAGCTGCATCACACTGCAGATTCACAGGGCGCATGTACGTGTGTGCTTTAATGCGCATTAGCTTATTTTAATGCACACTAAACATCACAGAAAACTGTCTGGTTTCACTAATGTGCATTAAAATAGGCTAATGCACCTTTTTCTAGCACATCACAATGGTGGTACTAAATTTAATGCGCATTAGCAAAAGCACATTAATGAACGTATAGATGCGCCCATAGTGAGTCTGTGGTCTACCAAGACTCCCAAGTCCTTTTCCATAGTGCTGCCATTCCAGCCAGGTGTCACCTATTTTATATTGGTGTTTTTGATTATTCCTCCTGAGATGTAGCACCTTGCATTCGTCCACATTGAACTTGTTAGCTGTAACCCAACTTTCCAGTCAGTTGAGTTCCTTCTGAATTG